TTGGGGTTCCTGACCTGGGATACGAGCTTGTGTTGTTGGACAACAAAAAACTTCCTCATTTACAATGCTTCGTTTCTATCCAAGTACAAGTCCAACTGATCCAATTGATCATCGGTGGCAAATTCCGAGAGCACCATATCGACCAATTTGAAATTACCAGCCACAGCATCAATCAAAGGCTGATTGTTCTGAATGAATGTATCTTCCAGATACAACTTCCTCAAAGTATGATTATTCTTGACAATTCTCACCAAAGCATCCATACATTCATCGTCCACTCGTGTATTGAAAGAGAGATCCAACTCTGTGAGACAAGTATTCTCCACGAGAGCATCTGCCAATTCATAGACATCATCGTTTGAAATGTTCTTATTTTGCAAATTAATGGAACGAAGGAGTGGATTATTTCGTTTGAGCTCATCGGAAATGACTTTCACATTACCATCCTTAATTAATCGTTGAAGAATGATTAATTGTTGGCGTTCCTTCTCCTTTTTCAGTTTTTCAGCAGCTTCTTGTTCGAGTTTGAGTTGATGTTCTTCTCGTTTTTTCTTTTCTGTATTCTCAATTTGGGCAATTTGTTCTTCCATTTTTGCAATTTCTGATTTTGGTAAATACAAAGGATAAATATTCTTGACTCGTTCTTTCATGAGTTCAATTTCATAAGGTTGTAACAACTTTTCTGGATCTTTTTGTTTATCCAGAAGGAAATTCAAACTAGAGTTATATTCCGTTCGCTTCGATGTTTGATTGTGTTGTAAATCTTTTGCTTGTTTCAACTCGGATTTTAACAAAGTCACTAGATGCATTTTTGATTCCACATGTCGAATCCACTCTTGTAATTTTCCAGATTCATTAAATTCTGATAAAAGTTGTGTGAGTTGTGAAGAGAGAGATGCTCTTTCCTCTTCAATTTGTTGTTTCAATTTTCGTTCTTCTTCCTCCTCTAAAAGTTTCTTTCGATGCAGTTCTTCTGCTTCTCTTCTCTTAGTTTCTTCGAGTTGTTTTAATTCTAAATCTCTTTGAATTCGTTCTTGTTCGAGTTGAAGAGCTTTTTCTTTTTTTCGATGCGCTCTTGCTCGAGACGAGCTTGTTCTTGCTCTTGTCTCAATTTTTCAAGAGCTTGTTCTTCTTGTTTTCTACGTTGTTGTAACAATAGTGCAGATTCAGAAAGATTCAACGTTTCAGTGTTGGAAGTTGTGACAGAATTTGATTCTTCTGTGGAGGTAGTAGCGGCAGTGACAACCATTGAAGGAGTTGTGACATTACTTTCTGTAGAATGATGATTGACAGTGGTAACCGATGAAGTTTCTTTTGTGTCATCATCGTCACTCAAATCTGAGTCATCACTTTCTAACATGGATTTCATTTTGGCTTCCAATTCTCGTTGTTTTTTCAATCTCTCTTCAATTT